GGTCTTGTAATAATGGGGCCAGGTGACCTCAGAAATTAGTTATTTATTCTCATTCTACTTCCATTATTAAAGCTGGAAGATAGCAAGACTTGGGGAGAACGAATTATTCTCAGGTGTAGTTGGGTTCATCCCATCTCTAAGATTTGGGTAGTATTTCCTAACTGAATAAGAGGCTGTATTAAGAAAGAGCAGGTCCTTGTGGGAGGGGAAGAAGATTTGTTAGAGTAACGCTGGCCCACGAGCAAGAGAATTATGGGGAAAGTCTTGGCAAAAGGAGTTATAAGGGGCCAGGGAAAGTCAAAGCCAAAGAGGGAGTCAAAAATATTCTTTGATGGATGGTGTAATTACTATCAGTGCACAGTGAATTTATAATAATTGTTATGTCATAAATAATACATGATATACTTACAGTTGATTTTTTTCTTGTTCTTGATTCTGAGTGTCCTATTCCTATTATCTTCCTTTAAACCAGGGCAGTTTAATGTGTGACATGAATCCTGCTAGTCACCATTTCCCTAGTCTTGCTATTCACTGATTATAATTCTTGCCTTTCTCTCCAGCCAGGTTCCGGTCCATTGTCAGAATTGTTTTCAAGTTCATTGTGTGGGCAGCTACCATCACTTGATCAAAGATAGCACTCATATGGAAACATATTTGGTATTCCTGAAATCTTACAGTTCATGGAAATTCATTTATATTTGGCATCAAAATTTCATCTTCCAGATTGTCGCTAAGACTTTAAAGAGTTACAACATTCTAGTGTCAGATAATGCATAATAATTTCTGCTTGAAGACCTAGCCAAGAAAAGACAACTTTTTAAAGGTAATTTAATAAAGGAAATTTAAGCTGTGACACCATTTATAAAGAATTTTGATAGTGAAAAAGGCATATACCTAAAGGTGAAAGAGATCCAGAAGCAGTATGTGCTTTGAGGGACTGGGGACACATGTAAGAGACAGAAATCGGGTAGGAGGTGCTGGCAACACCATCCTTCTCCCCCTTGTCACACAGTCTTTCATGAGTTTCTTAAATGGCCCAGCTAGCCTATTGAAAAGAGAACCTGGAAGACGAACTTTATAAGAGTCTGCTTTATGTTGTGCAAACAGAACAAAGAAGGATCTAGATTGCTAGAGGATGGGTCTGAGAACTATGAGCCATCTGGTGGCCAAGAGCACGTGCATTACCACCTGTATTCATTGCTCAATAGGTGTGCAAAGTATGGATGCCTAACCTTGCCTTCATCCGCAGGCAGTTAAATTCAGGAATCCTACCAGGATATGGTTTGAGGTAGTTTTCTTTCTAAGTGGATAGGTTAGAGAACACTCTGAGTCATTGGACAATAGCAGCCTCAGGGTCACTTGACATTTAGACCAGTGGGAACAAAGGAAGTTGCTCCTATTTATTAAGCACAGAATTTATATGAGGTTCTCCTGCTGGGAAAGGTAGTAAGGATTCAATTACACTAATTTGTACCCTATGTGAGCAAGCGTATCACAGACTAACAAAAGGCAGTTTTGGTGAAGGAACATAATAAACCTGTCCATCTCTAAGGAAATCAATCTAATTACAGGATACGTTGCAAAATCTTGGAACAAAGAGGGTTTTTTTTTTTTTTTTCACTTTGACCAGTATAAACATGAACGAAATCCTTGATTCTCATGTGTATCAAGAGAAATTAACTCATTCTCTAGGTTAGGTTTCATTTGAAAGTTAGCATTATTGAATACTCATTATGGGATACAACAAGAGAAGAAGGTGGAAAGAGGGTTGGGAAAGAAGAGGTTACTAAATTCAAGGATGGGCTGTATGTAACAAGCTATGTTCTCCTACAGGCCTTTCGTGCCCACATTTTTATTCAAGTATTAGAGACATGAATGCATAAAGAAAACAGAACAAGCTAATAAGAACCATTAAGGCACAATATAGGTAAAATCCAAACATACAGAGCTGGACTCACATTACATGCATTATTGTCATGTAATAGGCAAAATCATACAACCCCAAACCAACCCAAATGTACAAGAAGTGGCTCTGAGCTCAGACTGTGAAAATAGGCCATGTGTATTAGTCACATTTTCATCACTGGGAGAAAATACTGAAAACTCATGACTTATAGGAGGAGAAGCTTATTTTGGCTCATTGCTTCAGTCATGGTCCAAACATGGTCCATGGTCTTGGCTCCAAGACATAAGCATCATGATGGAAAGAGGAGGGAAGAGTAGGCATAAGAATACATTCTCCCATGCTCTCGGTGACATGCCTCCAGCCAGGCCCCATCTACTAACAATACATTCAGCTACTGGACTAATCAATGGGTGAATTCACTGATGAGTACAGTGCCCACATGATCCAGTCACTTCAATGACAACATGTACTTTAAATCTTTTCTTAATGAAAGTGGTGGATTTGCACTGACCAACTGTACCCTCTTTTCTTGTTTATTGAAGAGTAAGTATTGCTTTGCAAAAATCTCAGTGGAAAGACTATTCTTTTCTGAGCAACTAAGTGAAAAATGAACTTGCTACTGATAGAGTACAGTATAGTGCAAAGATTGGTGTCAGAGGGGGCTGGAGATTTAGCTCAGTGGCATAAGCGCCTGCCTTGTAAGCAGGCAATCATGAGTTCAATCCCCGGTACCGATAAAAAGGAAAAAGACAAAAACAAAACAAAACAAAAAGATTGGTGTCAGAAAAGCCTTTGGTCAAAATACCTGCACTTCCAAGTAGCTGTGAACTCTGCCACATAATATAAAGGCTGTGAAAACTGGTTCCCCTCTCTTTAGAGTATTTATTTCAGAATTTCAAAGACTGAGGAATATTATACATTTAAAGTGCTCAGTGAAATGCCTTGGCACATACTACCCAAGGAATATGTACAATTGTGTCCATGAAGTTCTGAATGCAAAAAGACAGAAGAATAAAGTAATTGGAATGAACCCTTCTTTCTAATATTTCTTCACTACCCTAAATTTGCTTCTCCTATCTCTTTCTTTCCCTGACTCTGGAATGATGTTCCTCCTCTCCCATGGTTTCCAAAACTTTAAGATTTACCGTTTCAGAAGCCTTGAGATGCAGAATTCCACTCTTTCTTTTTGCTGTCCTCTGATGGACCAAAACCTTGCCAAATTAGTGACAGAGACATTCTGTATCTATCCCTTCTTGTCACAGTGAATTCATGATCAGGGTATAGAGAGATGTTCTATCACTGGTTGTATGCAATAGATACTGTTGGTCCCAATCACATTTTACTTAGCAGACTCCATTGTTGCTTTTAAAATCATCATTTTATTTTGTTGCATAATTTTGGGGGGTCAAGAATCCAGGACATGCTTACTAAGGTGATTCTTGTTTTCCTTATGGCAATAATGGGGGCTACTTGGTGTTATGCAATTAGTAGAGGTGATATAAGGGAATGAAACTCCCAATCTGCTATATGTCCAGTAGGAGTTCATGCTCTCTAAAATAGAAGAATGAATTTTAGGAAGAAGTTAAGAGCTGAATGTATTTATTAAGAGAAAGAAAGCTTGTGTGTGAGAGAGAGAGGAGTCCTGAGTGGGTTGCCAAAAGCTCTGTCTTTTCTAGGGACTTTTATAGAGTAAAATCATGAGGTGAGACGGGTCCACGATTGGGAAAATTGGAACACATAAGGCAGACAGGCATGAGGTGAGACAGAACCATGGTCCACCAGTAAGATTAATTGTTCAGTGACTGTTCTATAGGAAGTTGGAAGGTAGCTCCTGGCTTCATCAAGGTGATCCATACCTATTTAGAATATCAATTCCTGATGTTTATACTTAGGGTGTGGTTGTGAGGAGGTATCTGTCACAAGACACCTGGTCCTATGTAGAGGCTCCTTTTAGAGCCTAGCCCTATTTGACTGCCTATAATATTTCTAACTAACACAGCTGTGAGCAACAGAGTGATTATTAGTCTTGAGGGCTCAAAGTAGCTTCATTTGCATTTCTGATACCTTTACAGGGTTGTCCTACCTTGGGCCTGAGTATTTATAGGTGACCTCTCTGTTATGGAGGGCCCAGCATTATGGCCATATAAATTCTTATGTGATGGTTCTGAGCTCCAAGAGCAGAAGCCTCAAAGATTTTTGTGACTCTGAGTTAAAAGTCACATAATATCATTTTGATCATCATCTGAGGGTCAAAACATCCATGAACCTGTCCATATTAAAGGAGGAAGGCAGTAGAATATAGTTTTAGATGGAGAGATCTTGAAGAACATATGGGCATGACTTAAACATGCCACAGAATTCATTCTCTTTAATCATTCCTGCTTGGGCAGGGACTAGGATTTTGATCTTCACTTTTCAGAAGGACACATTAAGTCCAGGGTTTTAACATTTGATTACTAAAGAATTGAAAGGGAATTACATGTTTTGGGGGCAATAAAGATAACGTCTAGTCTAAAGTTACACTCTGCAGAGAAAGAAGGAGATGGAAGGTGGTTGGCATTTGGAATGTTATTGCCCTTGGGGTGTTTAACAATACCCCGCCTATCTCCAATAACTCAACAGAATGTTAGATAAGAATATACCCAGGAAGGTCTTGTGCAGCACTTATCTTAGAAATCCAGAGTGTAAATTCTAGCAACTCCCATAGCATTCTGTATGACTTTGTCTTTGCTATCCTTACCCTTGGAATGATAGGTTCAGTGTGTAACTTTCCCCATAAAATGCTGTGCTCTGATAAAAAAAAAAAAATACGCTTGTATCCTCCACATCATACATGGTGTCTGCAATACAGCAGATATATAATAAGTCCATTTTATTGGAAAAGGCTGTCAAGAAAAGATGACACCTGCCTACTCATAACAGTAAGTTTGTAATCAGCTATGAAAACTCTGGCCTTTTTTTCTAACTATGATGATTTTTATAGCTATATATTTTGGATATGCAGCGTAACATTTAAAACCTTCACGATTTCCCAGCATGTCCAGCCAGATCACTTAGATTATGAAGACATAAGATAACATGAACACACTCAACATTTACTAACAGCTTGTTTATTATTTAGTTGATTATTTCATTTTTATAATCGTACAATAATTCTCTTTTAAACAACACTGTCATAGTTGAAGATGGTCACATTATATTCTTCCCTCCTTCTACAGTAGTAAAGTGTTTTGTTCACACTTAGTCTTGCAATAAAACATTTGACTATCAAGAAGTTCAGTTAACTAAAAATAATGAAAAGATCAAACTCCATGGAAAATTGCACACTCAGTGAGGGGTCTGCAGCCATTACAGTGGTTCAGGTACACTCAGGAGGAAACAGCAGAGGTCTCAACGGGACACTGGACTGAGGGTGTATTGGTGAATGGAAGTGATTCCCTTAAGACCTGTTTGGCAGCTTTAAAACTTGAGGTTTGATACTGGTTTGGTACCATCACTCTTACTTCTAACCAGGATGTCCTCCTCAGGCAAGCACTGAGAAACGTTGGCAGGATGTGATTGAAAGTGTCCTCCAGTGGGGAAAGAAATCCTCCAGTTAGTTGTGCAGCTATCCTTAGGCTACCCCGTCCCACTCATGCTGGCCTTCAGAACTTGAAAGTGGTTGGACCCAGTGGTAAGATGCACACAGGTAGTAAGGAGAACACAAAAGGACACAGAAGAAGGAAAGAGGTGAAAGGAGGAAGGAGGGAAACTGGGAGAACCAGGGGGGGGGAGAGGAGGTCACTCAAAAAGCAAAGGAAAAACACAAAAATACAGTGGATAAAAGGAGGCAGAAAGACTCAGCAGTGTCTGGAGCAGTGCTCAAAGGGGAGAGAGAGGATGATAGTGTGCTAAAGAAACAAAACTCAAGTGGCAAAGGGATGACCCTTATCGCCCTCCATGCCCTCCTTCTCTGGGCTGTCAGCTCCTAGGTCTCCACTGCTGGGGCAAGAAGGCAGTGATAGCCTCATCGTCGGCCTGCTCAAAGTCAAGGCATGATTTTCGGCAAGGACTTTGCTAAAACCATAGCAACAAAAAGTTGGTGCTCCAGATCCTGCCCAATCCTCTTCTCCAGCAACGGTGAAAAACTTGCCCTATGAGTCACTTCAGCTGCAACCCCTGAATTAATCACAAGTAGGATAGCCGAGGGTTGCTGTCTTTCACTCAGATGGTAGGGGCATCTCTGGGGCAGGTAGATTAGAAAGAACAAGATCAATCTTTCTCTGGAAATAAACAGAGAGGACGAGAGGGCAGCAAGACCAACCTTGCTTTCAGCTACTTCATAGGCTTCGTTCTCAGTCAGGAGCAGAAAAGGCCATGTCCTTCAGAGTCGCTGATACTAAGGTTGCCCTTGTTCCAAGTCTAAGGGTGAATCTTGGATCCTCCCCTTTCCGCTACCCAGGGGATGGGGGCATCTATGCTTGGGTGATTGGGAAAAGTGGAGCTGTCTGGGCAGGTCCTCTGTGGAGCCAGGAGTTCTGACAGCCACATACAGCAGGCCATGCTGAGAACAGCATGAGGATCACAGGGTGGCTGAAATCCTAGGCCTTGGGGTCCAACAGGCCAACTCATCCTGTGGCTCAAGGAGCCAGAACATGAAGGATTTAGGGGAAGTCGAGCAACCTCTCTGCCCGTTTCCTTCTGACTGAAATGTGAACAAACATAGCACTTCCTCAGGGAGCTGTAAGAATTCAGTAATATTGTGTTTAAAGTACTTCCAGCAGGGCCTGTCATGCAGAAAACACTCACTAAACACTGTCTGCCATTATTCTGCCCAGAAAGAATCAGTAAGGCCCAGGGACTGCATTATAGGTCTGCACTTCCTGCCTCACCTTTGTCATGTGTTTCCACAAGAGGAGCCCCGGTCAAAGCCAGGGTGGTTGATAGCAAGTTGGAGACAGCTAAGGCCATCACTGGGTGACATGGCCCTGGAAGGCTGTGGCTGTCTCTGGAAGCTTGGACTTCCTGATAAGTAGGCCTGGGCAGTGGGTGAAAATGGTACCTTTCTCTTCACTTCAGTTAGTGCTTGATTCCCACAGGCCCTGCTACTCTCAGCAATTAGATGGGTGGCAAGAGAGGGGTGACAGCCACAGACTCCTCTTGCTGATGATCATTAAAGAAAGAACTGACAAAAATAGGGATATAATAAGCAAGTTCAGCATGTGGTGAACTGGACAGAAGTTTTTGTTCTTGTTTTGTTTTGAGACTGATGATAGTTTTAGTTCTCAGAAACACTGACATGATGTATGCATTCCTCTGGCCCAGACCAAACATAAGCCAAGCCTTATTTATGCAGGGTAAAAGGCACAGGGACTATAAAAAAATTCAGGATCTTGGATGGAGATCGGTGGTCTGGAAAAGTTCATCCAAAGGAGGCAATATTTTTTTTTAAATGACAAACTCCTCTTATTTCCGAGAATGTGGGCTGCTAACTAGTTTCCCAAGTAAGCTCCTCTGCAGGTAGACTTGACAGGTGGCACCTTGTTGCTTCTCAAAGATTTTGCTGGTCAGAGGAGAGGGCAGAGATCTGCTGGAGTGGGATTTAGTTCTACCTGAATACGGGAGAGGACCTAAAATGCCAAGAGGCCCACTGGCCCTATAACGGAAGCCAGGTTCACCTTTGAGGTGTGCAGATAGCAGGAGAAAGGCCTGGGAGAGAGCCATGAGGAGCTCCCTCCCCCCCAATTTTCTCAGTGTCTTTCCCTGGAGCAGGGCTTAGGCTCTTAGAGGGAGATGTGTCTTAAGGAATGCCTGAAGGTGGGACATGAGGAAGGTCTAACTTTCTGGCTTCACACGTCCCCAGGTGCAAAGGACCCAGGAATTCAATGAGCACAGGTACCTCAACCTGGTAAACCCTTCATGGAAAGCACAACAGATTCTTGAGCATTTTTATGACCCTCTTGGGGAAAAAAGTGAATGAAACAAATTAACACCAAAACAAATTCCAAAGTAATCCTCTAGGGAAAAATGGCACTGCATGAAGCTGCTGACTGGCAGGTGTACTGATCATGCAGATGGAGAATGTCACACTGAAGCAGTTCTGCGGGGAGCAGGAATCACGCTCCCTCATTTAGATGTTGCCTGTGAGCTTTTGATGTTACATTAAAAAACGTTAAAAATCAACAAACCAACTTCTGTCTCCTGCTTTATTGGGGCAGCCACTTTTTGGCCTCATGGTGCTAGATGTCTTTGCTATCGCCATAGTCGTTGTAGGGGATGCTCAGGGTCTGCTCCTCACATGTCTTCCTGAGGTCCCGGCTCAGCTCTGACCAGTCCAGCCCATAGGGCTTGATCTCACTGTAGCGGCAGCCCAGGTATTTGAGGGCACTGCGTCGCAAACTTATCTTGGGTTCCTGGAGGAGTCCATTGCACCAACTGCTGAGATCCCCAAGCTGGGAAAGGATGAGGCCGGCTTTCCTAAGACCATACATAAAGAATGCTTACGTTAGAAAGGAGGGGCAAGCCAGAAGGTGCAAATAGCCATGATTAGGGTGACACTTAAAATTTCAAGAACCTCATATGTTTGCCTGACTGTTTGATCTCTGACACTTTGACACTTTCTTGCTCCATAAATATCTGTCTGTAAATGAATGGATGGATGAATGAATGAGTAGGATGGTGTGCAAAATGGGACAGGCACTGACCAGAAACACATAAAATGCAGTACAGAAAAATAAAAATGAAAAATACATAGCTAATATTTTAGCAGGAATGCATACCTTTTGCAATCATAGAATCAACAGTCATGAAAGACAAATTAACTCCATTTTTCTGCATCAAGCAATTTGTCACTAGGTGACAGGTAAGGTGCTTGGCTGAATACTTTCCCTTTCAAGGCTACATCTGAGTTGCTAAAACATCCAGTACATTACACTGGAGAGGATATCAAATGTGACCAATTAGCCCTGCATTGAGGTAATTATACCATAATGAGGGCATGGAAAATCGTGCCCTCAGTTCACACGGACTCAGGGACAATCTGGGTAGAGCAGATGCCCACTTGCACGTTTCACCTCATTAACCTCCAGATGAGCTCCTGCTTCATCCCCTCATGTTCCTGGGAAAGTTAAGAGGCTTTGTCAATAGAGCGGATGGAAATGAGCAGACAAGAGCACACCTCAGCCACTGCATGTCCCAGCGGAGAGGAAGTTGTCCCAAGCTGACACATAGTGGGAAGGAGTGATTCTCCTGGGCTAAGGCATCAGAACCTGGGACTTTGGCATGAAGTCTGGATACACCTTCTTCCTAGCACCTGCCTGTGGAACCAGACACAAGTGCTACCTGACATCTAGTTTTCAGATCTCATTGGCTTTGACTCTGAGTATTTAGGATAAGTGAAGGAGAGTTCTTCATTCGGTTGTTTTTTCCATATTTTTCAAAGATCAAAGTGACCAGATACTTATGAAGGAATGTTTCCTTATTTGAATAAACTAACTGGAAGCTGAAAATTTTTTCCCACTCAACCTCCTTGTTTCTCTTTCTTTCTTTCTTTCTTTCTTTCTTTCTTTCTTTCTTTCTTTCTTTCTTTCCTTCCTTCCTTCCTTCCTTCCTTCCTTCCTTCCTTCTTCTCTTTTCTGTACTAGAGATCAAACTCAGACCTTTGTGCATGCTAGGAAAATTATCCACCACTGAGCCATCCTTCCAGCACTTGTACAAGTGTTTTAAATTTTGAGATAGAGTTTTACTAAGTTTCCCAGGCTGGCCTCAACCTCGTGATTTTCCCTCCTCACTCTCCAAAGCAACAGATCACAGGAGTATGCGCCACTGCACCCAACCTCTCCTCTAGTTTGAGAAACAATCCCTTCCAGAAACTAAGTGGAAGTTTTCTACACCCCATTTAGAATGAGCTTTCAAAGAACAACAACTATATTCATTTTATTCTTTCTCTCGGTCCTGGCAGTAAATGTCACCAAAGAGTGACCTCACTGCATTCCATGAAGGGCATGCTGAAAGGAGCTCAGAGATGACGTTGGAGGAAAGGTGGTGAGCTTTATTTAGCAGCAAAGTCAAGAGGCTAAGAGCAGTGTGAAGTCATTGAAAGGAAAGTCATGTTTCTTCTGACATCAATGTTGGGTCAGAGGAAATCAAACAAACACTCTGCCTGCCGACTAAATATCTTTGTAGTCAGATGATTTGTACTTCCCCTATCAGTGTCTGAAGTTTGGCCAAGCAGGTTTTCCAAAAGTAATCACAATCACTGTGATGGCATTTCCTCTTAATCTAGCCTACTGTATGCCATTCATTGTTAGTTTTTAGGAGGTGGAGAAATGGGGAGTGAAGGAGAAGTTAGGGCGGCATCTGGGATAAATGGATAAAGACACACATCCTGGCCACCCTCTCCAGAGAATGAATTTAATTTGCCCATGGAGTCTCTGTTGCTGTTTTCATTGCTCACTTTTTGTTTTTAAAATCATAATTAGTCTGAGTCTGTTCTTGACCAGCTCAGAGCCTTCTTGCTTAGTGACAGCGCAAGCAATGCTGTGCTCAAAGTATCCGGAGCTGGAGGAAACAATTCTGCTTGTGTGCACACACAAAGTCCCATTTTGATTCATTCCCGCAACTAACCTCAAAGTGGGTTGTTACAGCTAAAGGCAGGAGACTTTCTTCTGTGGTTCTCCCTGAGATCCAAGGCAGTAAAAGGCTAAACTTTATTTTCTAAGGGCCAATGAAACTGCACAATGTTTTCTAATACATATCTGTGAAAGGCCAGTATGACACATGAAAAAGCCTCCTGGGAGGAGAGACTTCAGTCAGCACAGAATTTACTTTCTGGGGAGATTCACATTTCTTCCCCTGCTGCTCACTTTCTTCATTAACCAATTTTCTTTCTAAGTCTTGAGTCACAAAAGAGAAATTTTAAAAAGACTCCAAATGCCCTTATGAATCAAGATGAAAATGCACTGCTAGTGCTATTCAAATTATGGCATTTATCCTGCATGACAAAGAACTGTATATGCTCACTCAATAAATGTCAGATGAAAAGAGAAAACAAGAGGAAAAGGGGGAACAGGGATCAGAGAGAAGGGACCAGGGAGAAGAGAGTTGGAGAGGGACAAAGTATTGGGCATGAGCAATAATGTCAAAAGCACAGATAATGGGCATCTGAGATGAACACATAGTTCTCAGATGAAGATACACAAACGGCAAATAAATATATGAAGAAACGTTCACCATCACTGGTCATTCGAGAAATACAAATTAAAATAGCATTTGGAAGAATAGCTGCCATCAAGAAATCAACCAATAACAAATGCTGGCAAGGCTGTGGGAAAAAGGAACACTGCTCCACTGTTGGTGGGGGTGTAGACTGGTGCAACCATTATGGAAATCAGTATGGAGAATTCTCAGAAGACTAGGATTGGAAGTTCCATTCAACCCAGCTATTTCCCTCCTGTGTATTTTCCCAGAAAAACTGAAAACATCATATCTCAGTGATATATGTGCACTCATGTTCATAGCAGCACAATTTGTAATAGCTAAATCTTGGAAACAACCAAGATGTCAATCAACAGCAGAGTGGATGAAAAAGATGTGGTATTTTTATACAACAGAATATTACTCAGCTATAAAAAGGATAATCTTGAGGCCTTCATTGGTAAATGGAGACAACTTGCAATTATCCTCATTAGCGAAATAAACAAGAATCATATTTATAAATATCAATTGTGTTTCTAGTGTAAAAAGTAATGAGAAATGAAGGACTAATAAAACCCAAAATGTGTAATTGCTATTGTAAAAAAGAGAGGAAAAGAAAGTGTTCTAAAGGATATAACTGCATATTACTAGTAACCATATTACTAAGTTTTTGTTGGATCGTTGAACAGCACTGTTGCAGTCTCACTGTTTGAATGTCCACTTTGTATGCTTCACTTTTGTAACTTGAACAACTATTTGTAAGAAGACACTATGTAATTATCAACTAGTGATTTCTTACTGTTTATTTTTTAAAAATTATGTATTATTTTTGCCCTTTTTTCTGTTTTTTTTTCTTTAAATAAAATAAAAGCAGAGATAAGTTATGTTCGAAATGGTTGCTCAGGTGACCAGATACAGGCATGCAAGACTGATAAGCAATATAATTTCCCTTGAGTAGTTTCTTGACCTTTTACTCTATGTATTATAACTTTCGGATCTTATTAACTCTTTTAGTTTCTTACACTAACAAGATAATACGGTGTTATACAATATAACAGTCATGTTAAATTCCTATCATCTTGTTTTGATATCGTATTTCGCTATTGCTTTTTGTAGTTGCTGTTATCATCTTGCTTTTGTTGTTTTTTGATTGTTTGTTTGCTGCTTGATTTTTCAGGTTTTTTTTTTTCTCTTTAAAATAGAAAAAAGAAAGAAAGAGAGAGAGATAAGAAAGGGAGTACAGAAGATATTTCTTTCTATATGTCTACTTCCTAACCCAGGGTTTGGTTTTGTAAGATAAAACAAATTAAATATCCCTTCCGCATTTCTTGTTGATCCACAGCAGTGGCCTTCTTTTCCCAAGGACCATAATGCTTCATAAACAGCAGGAGCCAACTTATAGACTAGCAGGAACCTGACTGACCTTCTGCATAAAATCACTGCAGGTTAGTAAGACCACCCTAAATTGCCTGCTTCTTTAAAAGTAAGAAAATAGAAGAGGAAATGGTCTGAACAATGGTCTTCTAGGAAGATTTATAATTATAGGTCATAACAGGCTCAGAAAGTCAGATCCATAAAATGACTTTGGGGTGACACTTGAGCGCAGCCCCGCTGGCAGGTGAGCAAGAATTTTTTTAAGTAGTCAGAGGATTCCGGAACAGTTAGGTTCCTCATTTTCTCTTTATTTCTCTTCTTTCACTTTCTCTTCACCTCTTTTCTCTCCCTTCTCTCTGTCTTTCCCTTCCCTCCCTTTTTATTCCCTGCCTTCCTTTATTTCTCTCTTTTTCTTGTTCCCCAGCTTTTGCTCATTTCCATTTTCTCTTCATGAGTCCTTAAATAATTTGAGGGCACCTAAATTTCTCAGATATCTATTTTTTTGTGTGTTTATCTAAAAATTCTAAAGGCTGCGGATATAGTTCAGTGGCACAGCGCCTGCCTGGCAAGCACAAGGTCATAAGTTCAATCCCCGGTACCAATAAATAAATAAATATTCTAGTATTTCCAGAGTAGTCTGTCTTTTAGAGGCAGGAATAGGCAGTCATCAGGTAGAGAGCAAAAGGAAGGTGCTAACTTTACACACTCTTCTCATTTGTCTCTCTTCACAGATCTGTATCTGGGCTGTGCAGCCAGAAACCAGCAGAAATTAAGTATTAAGTATTAATTGTTGTAGCCTTGGGCCCAGGATAAGCGCTATACCATTCCAACCTGGGCCAGAACAGATGTCATAGAAGGTCTTCAGATACCTCCATGTTGCCTTTCAAAGAATGTGGAAGTTGGTATATAGTACAAAGAACATACACAGCGCTCACACGCAGCAAGTATTTTGGGATGTAATCTCTTTAACAATTCTAATTTCTTTCCACAGCCCTAATCTTTGTTTCTTGTTTTGGTTTGTTGAGATAGTTTCACTCTGCTGTTCAGGCTGATTCTGAGCTCACTTTGTAGCCCAGGCTGGCCTCATACTTGCAGCAATCCTCCTTCCATAGCCTCCTGGGCGCTGGGAATACAGGCACACACCACCACGCCTGGCATCACAGACCTGAGTTTTAAACATTCGGAGTTCTGTGTCAACAGGGTAAAGGGAGAGGAGGTGAAGCAGCTCGGGAGCAAAGGTATTTTCAGAGTCTAATTCCTTGTACTAAACAAACAGACAGGAAAAATATAATAAATAAAAGCAGAGGATTTATTTCTCTGAGGACTGAAGCTTACCCCAGGAAGTTTGTGGGACTTCATGGAAACAGTATACAGTGCAAGAGATTAGAGGTTGTAAAAGAGCCAGCTTAATTACCTGGGGCCTAGTTCATCCTCACACCTCCAGGTGAATTCTCCAAAGCTCTCATAGTGCTGGTTATAGTGATAAAGGACTCGATGTAAGGTGGGGGAACCCAGATCCAGGAGGGTGTTGTAGGCAGTCTGTTGCTCCTTCCCACTGGTATAGCCATTGAAAAGATTGTAGATCTTATCTGCTATTTCTGAGGAGGGAAGAAAGAGCAAATATAATCATGCATGGCTCATCAGTGGTTTTGAGGAATGCAGTATTAGGTGATTTCAATATTGTGCAAAGATTATAGAGTGGATGTGGTGATTAGGATAGAGTTTCAACTCGAATTGGTTTGGAGTCACTTTGAGGATTGGCGAGCACATTTCTAGGTGTGTCAGCATGGGTCATGGAGGTGTAGCCTCTTGGTGGCCCCTGTCCTTTTCTCACTGGCACGCCTCTGCTCCACTTCCTGGCCACCATAAACCAAGCAGTTTTTCTCTGTCACAACTTTTATGATATTTTTGCCTAGGACCTAGCAGATCAAGGACTGAATCAGCAAAACAAACAACTAAACCTCTCGTCCTTTAAGTTGTGGGTACTGGGCATTGTGTCCAGCAACAGCAAAGCTGAAAATCCACTGTACTTACACTAACACAAATGTAGATGGCACTACCTATCACCTAACAAGGATGTGTGACATCTATGGGGGTAGCCTGTTCCTCAAGGGCCATGAAATCTCTGCTACTTCATAGCAACAAAGACTAAACAAGGTACAAGAAAAATGATGTCATCAAGAGACATGGTCCATGTAAGCTATAGGAAGCTGCTGCTGGCATAGCACAGGCTGCTGTTTTACAGTGAGCTCTTTACAAGTCGAAGTCCTCTCCAAATCAATGCTAAAAGAACAGAATAGTAAGTACACAAGCCAATAACATACCCGTATGTTACCATGAACAAGTACTATGCACTGTTCATCATCGAATGTCTTACATTTTTATATGACTGGGAGTGAGGAAGGTTTGTGTACACCAGCATCACCACAAACATGAGAATACAGACTGCTGGGACATTATGACAGCTATAGTATCACTATGGAGCAGGAACTTTTCAGTTTCATTATAATCTTATGGGGTCATTGCCACGTACGTGGCCCATTATTAAGAAAATATTGTTGCTACTTTGTGGTTATAATGGGATTTCATATATAGGATGCCTATACCCAGACTACATGTCCACATGCAGCTTTATGTGCCTGTATATATGTATATAAGGTGTCATCAAAAGATATGGCAAATGTTTAAAATCTAAAAAGTGGTACAGTAAAGGACATTGTCATTAATTTCCATCAGAATACTCCCCTCACTTTAGATGTTTTTTCCCATTTTTCTTACCACTTTCTGAAGCAGTTCTGGAAGTTCTCTTTCATAAGTATCTTTACAGATTATGAGTAAAAAATGGATAGTCATATGTCTTTTACTGTAATAAATTTTTAATTTAAAAATTCAGCATACTTTTTAATCATGCTGTGTACATGTGTGCATGTTATTACTTTACAGATACTGAGCCTAAAACCTGGAGAAAATAGTTTGTATAATTCATGTTACTTCTTTCCTATGAGGTCTCTGGTTTTGCCTGTATAAAACAGAAATCTTTGACTAAGATACTAGTAAGATCAATTTCAGTTACAAGACTCTTTGTGTTTATTCAGGTTTCCTAGATATTTATAACTTGCTAGTAAAGTTCATATATTCATCCTTGACTAGCAAGTACAATCCCAGGGAGGCAGGAGTGAGGATAAAAGGAAATGAAACAAGGAACCCGGGAAAGGAAATAAATATTAGAGCACATCAAAGAGCTGGCCACACCTCCCTTATAATCTGGAAGTGACATTTTGCAGGAGAGGATTATGAAGCTACCTGATCCCTACTGGTCATCCAGAGGGAGAAAGAAAGACTTTACCTTCAACTCACATAAAGGATTGGGCCAAGTTTGCACCCCTGAGGCATTAACACCCCTGCATTTTTAGCTGCATATGCCCTGGTAACAAGTAGTTCTACAAAATCAATAGAGATGCCCTGCCAGCAGGTGGCAGGCATTGGGAGCATGGACGAAGTGAGGCATTGTCAGTCATGCTTGGGGGCAATGCAAAACACCTAGAGCCCCAGTGGATATGGAAGCTGGGAGCACCTAGGCTGGATGCAACGGCAGGTGTGGAAGTCTGTGAAACCTGGCTTGAAACATTCTGCACCTCCAAATGAGTAATCTTCCTTTTAAAGTAATGCCTCTGATATTTCTGCCTCAAAGACTTACATTGCAAAGACTGAACTTGATAAAGATAAAAAGTGGAAATAAAGTTGTATAACTTTGCATTTTTTCTTATATTGTTCCAAGCACTCTATCAATAACCATTTTCTCACTCAATCTGTCAGAAAAGAGATATGCTTACATAGTTTCCTTAAACAATTGGGAGTTAAGATCTGGTGAAAATGCTGTGTCTTGGATCTAGTGTCATTTCTGGGGGCAAAGAAACTCAGTCCGTAGGTATCAAGCCCAGAGCTTTTCCCATTTGACTCTGTTAGCTTAAAGACATAGCAACCAAATTCTTTACCACAATTCCAATTGAATTCAGGAGTTCTCTAGGTTGAAATGAATGAAATCTCTACCCATAACCTGATCTACACAGTGCAACAAAGGCAAATATAACACAGCTCCAGTTGTTTGTTAAAGGCCAATAACTACCCAGAACTTTATATATGTGAATTCTAGTCCCTCCACAAACACTGCATATGGATATAAGAGTCCCTGTTGTATAAATGAGGAGATTCAGAAAGACACAAGATATCTATAGCCATACCAACCTGGAGGCACCTGGTATCATCTGGTCTCAGAAGCTAAGCAGGGTAGGGCCTGGTTAGTACTTGGATGGGAGAGAGGCTAAGTTACCTGCCAAGGTCATGACTAAGGTAGACTGGAGTCAAGGTTCCCTGTTATATCTATTCACTGTTGTTATTTTGCACCAGTGCCCAGTAGTTGGTGGCGTATGACCCAATTTAAGATATAGGCAGCAGAGACTTGGAGGTCAAAAAGTTCGGTTGATTTTCTCTAATAGAGTTCACTGCTCTGATTAGGCCCCAAGTGCCAAGGAAGTGGGAGTCTTAGTAGGTGCAGGAGGGACTTTGTCATTTCTGGAGTTGAGATAGAAGAAGCAGAGGGACCATCCTAAGAGCTCTTTTGTCTTTGATGGGAAATAGGGATTGTTCGCTAAGACGAGAATCACCAGGGAAGAACAATGTTGATCAGACTGCAGCATAGATATGAAGTTTTGGCTTCCTTATCTATCTCTGCACTGAAGGCTATGTGTTATTGCTCCCCATGGGACACAGTGGCCCTGGTTGTGACAATCTCTACTGAGGACTAGCAAAGGCAAAGAAGGTGATTCCAAGCATGATCATCATTCTTATGGCCTGGCAGTCATTTCCAGCTAGGCAAAGCTGACTGTCTCCTGTTGTCTGCACCATGTGGGGTAGAAGCATGCTCCACCACAATATTATAAAACCAAGATCTTCTAACTCCAAGGTATGCTTCAGATTTGACACTAATAAATGGGATGCTATTTTCAGAAAGATCTATGCTCCAGCTTGCAGAGTGTGATTATTTTGGCTCCTCCTATCTGCAATGATGAAACAGAGATTTTATTTAATTAGCCTTCATAACATTTCAAGAATTCACTGCTGAAAGAATTAAAAAGAACACATTTTTAATTATTATGTTACTCAGCCTCACAAAAGTCTTGAGATATCCAAGACAGATAACTGTCTTTCCTCTTTTACTATGCATGATATCAGAAACAGGTAAAATGCAGGTTAAATGATGGCAAGGAGTCTGTCTACCCAGATTCATCTCAAAAAAAGGAAGCTGAGGTAATTAGAAGGATACTAAGTTCTATCATGCAGAAAAATAAATTAACAAAGTTGGGACTCAGATCCCGATGGTTTGGTTAGGAGCAGAGACCATGGCATCAAATGGAGTCAGGCTCAGGGCTGGGGATTTAGCTCAGTGGCATGAGCTCCTGCCTGGAAAATGCAAGGTCATGAGTTCAATCCCCAATACCAATCAATCAATCAATCAATCAATCAATAAATAAGGGAGTTAGGCTCCAATATGCTAGCTGTGTGGTCCAAAAGTTACTTAACCTCCCTGAGTCTTAGTTTCCTTGTCTGTTGATTAATTATTTATCCCTTCAAGATTATGGTAAGAATGAAAAGGCTGCTACATAAGATGGCTTTATTTAGCATAACTGCTGGCCAAAGTAAGCTTTCACTTATTTCTTCATGCAAAAAACTTTTATTGAATGCTTATCAATTGTAGACATTTTGGGCTACATCAACAAAAGAATCTGTAAGAAGTCCTCACACTGTACTTAAAATATAGTAATAGAAACCCCTCAAGTAAGTAACAGGCCTAAGAAATGAATGAAACACAATGTGTTAGGCAGTGAAGAAAGTAAACTTGGAGAAAGGAGATTGGGAGTGTTGAATGGGTGTGGGCAATTTTAAACTGCAAGGATTCCACAGTTGTCCTTTTATATGAAATAGGAATCCTGGAAGCATCACTTCCTCCCATGGATGGTTTCCTTGGCACTGTGATGAAGGTCCTAAGATAGAGGCCCCAATTCCTCACTTTATCTTCAAGAGATACCTGCAACTTCAGGCCACTCCACGGGAAATAACTAGAAACACATTCCAGGTGAAGACCCAAGGGTAATCAGTCTCACCTGGCTTTCTATCTGTCTTTCTTAGCACCTTCCATATTGCAAGGCCACTTTCCCACACCCTAGCCCTGACTTCCTTGCTCTTCATCTGTTCTCCCAAAGTTTCAAAGTGCATCCTGCACACCCACGATTCTCACACTCATGAGCATCAGAGTCAACAGGAGGTTGACTGCAACCCACATCACAGGTTCCCCTTGGAGTTCATGATTCATCTGGTTTCAGATACGGCTAAGAATTGGGTTCCTGACAAGATCCAAGGTGACGCTAATGTTGCTGGCCAGGACAAAACACTCTGAGAACCATTGCTCTGTATTAATCTATATTCTCAAAACTGTCCTCACTTCCCTCAGGACCAGAATCATTACACGTAAGCAACTCTTTCTTTACTTTTGACATGGGCATGCTCTCTTCCTCTCTTCCACATCTCCATGTTGCCAGTGCTTTCTGCAGAACTGAAGAGTCCTTCTCCTATGCCATGGAGAAGGGTGGACTACCAGGATCTTAGTGCCACCTTCAAACTGTTACTTTCCTTTCCAATATATATTAAAATTCCTTCACTTTCAAGATTGCCCTCCTCATTATTTCTTCCTAGTTATTTCTTGACTGTTCACCTACATTTACTAAAAAATCTTGCTTTGGGCTTTTCTGCACATCATTTCCATTAAGGATGACTTATCTTCTCATGTGAGAAGCCTTATTTCAGTCTAGAGACCTCTAACCACCAGATATCAAGCATCAGCCTTTAGAACTGCTCCATCTTTGAAGTGGTAACCCTTAATATCAAGTACTGTGAGCATAATCTCCTTTCATAGTTTCTGATTTTCTTACTGCCACTAAATCTGCTCCTCAGTGATGGAAACCCAAATACTTTGATTCTTCCATTCATTCTTGGCATTAGGTCTGTGTCTATATCTTTCTCGATCTGACCTAACCCATGAGCCCACTGCTGGTACCCTCAGCTTGCCCCCTCTCTTCCTCCTCTGTGCAAGCCTTCATGCTGGCAGTCGTGGGGTGCTGAGCCAGGAGGGCCAGCTGCGTCCCTTCAGCATGCTGTACACACCTTTCCATGAGATGCTGTAAGACTAATGCACCTCTCATACTTTACCTACAATCCACTGACAAATCCTTTTAGTTTTACCATCAAAGTATTTAGAATCAGACTACCTCTCACCACCTCCATAGCTGTCACCTTGCTCTAGAACCACAGGTTGTCTCCTCCCAGTTGCCAGAGGCTCTACTTCCCACTTAAGACCCTCTTTTTAGAGTCTGCTTTTAAAACAGCTGGTGGAGCACTGCAGGCTGCGGTGAATTAATTTGTTAGAATAGGTGAGGGTGGAGAGTATTAGAAGTAATGAAACTGACACACGCAAAGGCCCCTATAAAAGTGGGAATGATGTGGGAGGCACTGCGGAAGTTGAGGGGCTGGGATGTAGAGACTAATCAAGGGGCAACAGCAGGCTAGGATATGTTGGAAAAATGGACAAAGCATTTGTCCTAAGCATTTTTTTGTCATACACACACAAATGGAAATCTACTGAAGAGTTTAAGAAAGAGGCTTGAAATAATCAGATGTCTGTGTTGAAAATACAACACACAAGCCACACCATGAAACACAAGAATATTTTTCAGAAGTTCTACAGCACTACAATATTGGTGACTGTAATTAAAGCAGGTCTGAGTCACTCTTCTTTCTGTGATTTTGCATCATCCTTGTGTCAGCACTGGACATTCTGAGATTGTCTTCTTCCTGGTTAATTTGATATAAAGAATAAAGTCCCACACACATGGTGAGACTTGCAGGGTATCAGCAAATTAACATAATGATAATGTTCTTTTTATTGAAATCTGCTCAGCTTACACTTTTTGATCATTCAGTGCCTCTAGCAATGTGTAAGTGGTATCAGCTCAATCCTACCCAATAGATAATAGTGATTGGTCAGATCACTTTAATTAATATTGCTGTTCTATAGGAAGAGTGACCAGGATGGAAGAATTTTGGTTGTAGACGGGATGTGAAAACTTTAGAGCAGAAGATAATGTCAGCTGAATAATGAATACTGATTAGAAACATACTCTTCCTGATTAACCATCATCAAGCCCCAAGACATGTCTTTATTAAAGAATTGGCATAAAATAAGTTTAAAATACAGAATTAAAGATTTCAATGCATCTTTGCTAGAGAAGGAAGGAGATAGCAATTAATTTCAAATCTGCAGCCTTATGATGATCAAACTCAAGATGATCTTTTAGATGTATAGAAAACTGAAGAGAATAAATGACTCATTGGTCTCCTAAGCACAGGGGCTAGGGTTATGTAGCATGTATGTAAATGGCTGATGTGCCTGAGGCACCCCTGGATTTGTGGACCACCCATGACAACAGAATGCAGTGAGGCACACTTCTGCAGTCTATGCTTCTATGCTGAGCCTCAGATCCTTCCCCTTCCCCCCTGAACTCCCTTGGTTCCTCTTTCTTCATGGAGAGAAGGTCCTGGGGCATCCTGTGCACACTGTGCCAGTCCCAGTGTCTCTTACCTTGGGCTTTGACATCATCCACCACAGGGCAAGGCGTCTTCACAATCACATCACTTGGCCTGGACCGCCGTCCTGTGTTGTCCACTCCCCAAAGGGTGAACCTGGCAGGGTGATAGGAGGGGATCATTACCAAAGAGAATATGGCTAGCGGCCTTGCTTTGCATAACCCTGGCTTCTCTTGTCACCCTGAAACACCCATAATGTCACCACTCAGGTCAGAAAGCATGTAGCCTGGTACCTCTTCCTGCTTCCCGTGAACTCAGGTACAAGTCTGCTGATTTGGAGGTGTTTTCTGGTGGAAAGTATCACAGTGTGGGTCACTAATTTTCCATGTTAGGTCCCCAGATCTGCAGCCTCAGCATTGCTGATTAAACTGTAAGCACTGAAAAGTCTCAGGCCCTACCCCAGACTTATGAGTGAGACCTGGGGTGAGAAACCTGTGTTCAGTCATCTTCCAGGTGACTTGCTTTTTTCTTTCTATGTTTCATATTTTGTTTTGCCTTGCTTTGTTTTGTTTTTGAGAAAAGATCTCCCTATGTTTCCCAGGCTGATCTTAAATTTTTGGGTCTCACATGATCCTCCTGCCTCAACCTCCCAAGAAGCTGGGACTACACGTGTACAGCACCATGCACAGCTGCCTTCCAGATGATTCTGATGCCAGTTTAATTCTGACAAGCACTGAATGAGGAAAGAGTATATACCTTTAGAAACTGATGGCCAGAACTTGGGCTTGAGGCTGGGTGGAGTTACAGTCACTCTTACAAGCCCCCTACAAATGAGGATGATAATAATTCACTGTGAGGATGAAATGTGGTAGGACCTGGGGTGTCAATTACATGATGAAAGTGGACACATCATACTTGTTCTCTGTTCTATGCTTGGCCCTTACCTTTGTGCAAAGGACTGAACATAATTATACTTTTTAAAGTCATAAGTGAGACAGGTAGAGAAGAAGGTCACTCCCTGCAGTCAGCTCCCTCTGTTCCACTGACCTGTTGCCCTCTGAGAAACAGGAATCCAGCAGGAAATGCTATTACCCCCAGACGCTTAACATGCAGTGCCCAGGAAATCCTAGGAAACGGATGAAGACCTGACTATCAAAGACCAAAGAAAATTTCCTTTTTGGGAAAATTCCATCCCTTGGATGATGGAGCTGGTGATGGTGATGAAAGAGAAATTCCAGGATCTGATACTCAGAGATGAATTCAAACATCACCATAAAAACAAGCACTAGTGTCTGCCCAGGGCCTCTGATAAGTAGCCTGGTCAGGCTGGAGGAAATCACACAACACTGCTTTCTTTGTCCCTTTCCTTTTTGCTGTGTTGCCACAGGAGGTTGCATCGCTTGGCAAACAGAATTTCAAGCAAAAAGAAGAGAGCTATCTCTCAAGATAGAGTGGCCTGGTACATGTTGGCTAAGGCAAAAACTGTAGGACTGGTGAAATAGAAAGAAATAGAAATTAACTTATGACTCTTCCAAGAAATATGTGTTCCTTTTGGCAGAGAAAAAAAACCACCTCCTGTCCACCATTCCCTCCCAACAAATAAACCCAGCAAATGGTCAGAGCGGGAACCTGTGTGCCCTGAGAAGTCACCTCTCCTCCCTCCACCTGGACAAATCCCCATGCTGGCATCAAAAGGATTCAGACAGGCAAATTCCACCCTGGGCTGGTGGGACCTAGAATGTGATGACCTTCAGGGTGGCAGCCCAGCCCCTCCCGAGACCCCTAAGGGGCTCGCCCAGCCTCCTTGTAGATCCAGACGAAGTGTGCGGCTTGCTTTCCCATTTGCACATGGGGCTCCATTCATTCCTCTGGCCTCTGCCTCATGCCCGGAGTCTGAGTTCTGAGCAATAATCTCACGTAGCACTCAAGCCCACCCTCATCCTGATCCAAAAACCTAGGGTCCCGCCACCCTTCCCTTCTTACCATTTTTCCCCTTGCCACCAGCCTGCACAGCTTCTAAGGGCAGCGCTGGCCCACCTCTACCCCTAGCACTGGCACCCATGCATTTCTTCTTCTTTGCCCTGTATATTTCAACTTCTTGATCTTATTTCTAGAATTGGGAGTGAAGCCACAAAACTCCGAGTCTTGTATATCTGAGCAGACCTGTGTCCTTCTCCACTGTAGAGTTTTAGTCTCAGAGTAGGTACAATTCTCTTTCCTCCTTAGCAGAGATCACTTTTAGCTTAGGTATTGGGGGTGAGGTGGACTGGAGACTTGCACCTCACAGCCTGCAGATACTCACACAGAATAGTTTACTGGGTCTCCCAAATAGAAATCGAGATAAAATCCATTCCCAACTCACTGCCAGGCTTTTCCCAGGCCCTGGGCTGTTTGCCTTTTGTCCGTCTGCCAAAAGTTCCATAGTATAGAAAGCCCAAGGCCTCACTGTGGTACAAACTGTTGTAGGACTGCCCTCCTTGAGTTTGCTCTACCCCAGCAGATCCTGACCCGGGCCCTTTGTGTGTCCAAAGTCCATCTCCTGCCAGATGTGGGAGGCTTGAGCTTTGATGCACACTCTGCCCTGATCCAGACTCAGCAGCTGTTTTCCTCAGAGCTGGGAGATACAGAGCCCTGCTCTTCCCAAGGTAATGCTGCAGGGCTGGCATTGTCACAGGCTAGGGCAGGAGCCTGGCCCTGTGCCCCAGTGCTCACACGGCAGGCTCTCCTGCTCCCAGCAGCACTGCTCTCCCTACTTGAATCCGAGTCCGGGGCTCTTAGCTGAGGTCAGTCTGCTCCTGATCATCTCCCCTAGGTCTGGTCAGCAGTCTGGCTGTCCACTGGAAGCATGATGGCACCTGCCAGTGCCCTGAAGGTCCCTGCGCTAGAATGCTTATGGTGAACCTCGGCTACCTATTGTAGCCCATCATCCTTAAATCTTGGACCCTCGATTTCAAGTAGTTTCCCTGAGCTACAATGGGAAGTGCTTTACATCTCAGGTACCAAGTTGGCTGCCAGATGGAATTAATTCCTAACTCACCCTCAAGCTTGTCCCACTCCCCCAGGCCAGCTCTGTTTTGTATTCTGTCCTGTAATAAGTCCCAGCCAAACAATATCAGATCCTGAGCTGGGACAAAAGTGTTTGTACTTACATTAACTCTCAAATTACCCGAAAGGGCAATTGTGTTTGTCTTGGTTACTTTTCTTTCATTGCTGGGACAAAATATCCAACATCCAAAATTGAGGAAGGAGAACTTTATTGAGCTCACTGTTTGTGGAGGTTTCAGTCCATAATCAGCTTGCTCCCAGGCAGGGTGGCATGATTGAGGAGCAATATTTCAAGGCAGCAGCCAGCAAAAGCAGGAGGAGCAAAAGGGACAGAGCAACCTTTTTCCCTTCCTTATACTGTACACAGGCCAACTGCTCCCCATCCCATCCAGGGCTGGTGTAGCTCTTACAAAACCTCCTTGCCCTCCTCTTGCACAGGATGAGGATATTTACAAAGCAAGTATCCTGGCTCCCTGCTGAGCTTCTTAAACTTCTAAACTGCTCAAATTGACAATGTATCAACCATAACAGTGTAAAATTTAGATTCTAAGCTCTACATTATTTTTACTACCATATTTTAATATGAAGCAGATATTAGGGAAGGAAATGCAGATAGAAAGTAGAGAGCTTGACCCAAGGGCTATCCCTCAGTGACCCAGCTCCTGAGCCCTCGGATGCTAGGAGAGAACCGTTATTTACTTAGTAAGGGACAAGGGGCATGTTACACATCTTCATGTGCAGGATCCAGGAAGGGCTTCTCTGTTTACTGTTGATATTACCGTTCCTGGCGATTAAAACACTCACAGGAGAGTGAGATAGTTAGCGGCAGTGACTGACGGAAGAGATAAGCACTGTTTCCAATCCAGAGGGCTCACGTGTAAGTGTATTCACTGCTTCGTCCAAAGCTTCTGGGCCCTTCCATTGCTGCTTGCCTGGGACAGTTTAGTGTGTACTTAGAGACGTGGTCATAACACTGACAGGTATGTGCCCACGAGTCTGCAGAGACTGGCTTGGCTCCAGGGAAAGGATTTGAAGGTCTGGGACTTAATGTGCATGGAGAATTGGGAGGCTCCTGCCGTCCAGGTCTGGCTGCACTGCCTGCTACTTCCCTATATTCCCTTTCCAACTCTGGTGTTTCCTGTGGATCCCTCTGATTCAGCTACCATCTTCTCAATTATCCATGTACTATCAGGTGCCCAGGAAGGGGTGGGCTCCCTTGGGAGCAGGTGCTGTGAGAGCAGACAGTAGACTACAAGACCATGGTCACTCACCTTTCCACTCTGAAAACGAAGAGGTTGGATGAGATACACTTTAAAATCCCTTTCAATGAAAGGAATCATTTGCAGTGTTTGTGTGATGGACCCTTCTCAGGACAATGTTTTTAAAGCATGGATTAAGTACATCAGATGACAAAGGAAACCAGCTAACATTTAGCTTTTACCTGCACGGCCATCAGTGAGGAGCCAGCGCTGTGCATTAATGTGACATAATAAGATCATGCTGGATCCTCACAGTAACCTGGGGTAAGACAGAGTGCACAAAAGAAACCCAAGCCTTGATTCATCTCCTAAGAACTGGCAGCCCCTCCCCCAAACAACTAGCTGTAGGATTCAGGGGAAGCTGCTCTGCCGTACTAAAGCGTCGGTTTCCTCCACTGTAACATGAAAGCAGTAACTCTCATCACCCAGGATCAGCCTGGATTTCCAGGCACAGTTAATAAAGAATTTCACATGGAGTCAGTTCTCCACAGGTGACTAGAAAACTGTGTTTCAGAGTTTAAGGACTTAACAGGTACCTGGTGTTGAGGAACAAAATGGAGCTTGGGATCCATTCATTCTCAACTCTTAATCCTGGACTGTGTCACCGCAGGAGGAACTGAGGTGCAGGTTTCCCTGAATGCTTTACAAAAGGGAAGTAACCCCAGCTGCCCACATCACCCTCTTCCTGTGATCTGTAGTGCCACCTGGTGGACACTGGCTGTTCCTACCTTAGTCCTCAGCATCTCTCTTCAAAAATCCACACTGGCAGAAAAGTTTCCAGCACAGTGGAGGGGAGCACCAGAAAACCACCAGGGAAACTGGGAGTGGGAGAAGGTATTGATCTCAAATCTTTGATCAAGAAACTAAGCCTGACTCATGCCAGTAAGAGGAGCGGCTCAACCTAGGTAACGGTTGGCACTCCTAAAGGAACTGTGCCAACCACTCAAGGAACTTTGAAATTCCTCACTGATAATTGAGGCTGAGTGAGGAATTACTGAGGCCTTAGTGCAAACAACAATACAAGTTTAATTGAGTTGGAGATGTTTTGTATCAGGTTGGTGGCTGCATTCCCAAATTCTGTTTCTTCTGCTGTCTGGCTGTCCAAACCTCCAAGAAGGGCCGTAGCCGCCCAACACAGAAAAAGTTGTGAGGATCCTGGAGTCTGCATCACACTGCAGACCACGTTCCTCAATCTCTGTGTGATCCTCTGTGTCTGTACACGCCCTCACAGACCTCTAGAATGTCACTTGTCTTGATGTGTTTGTCTCGAAAGGTTCTCCTTGCAGCCTGACCCCCACAGGGAACGTACTGAGCCGGAACATCAAAGTTCATTGCCATCGGTGCCACTCAAAATTCTAGTGCTTTCATCTTTGAACTCCACGACTGTGGAAATGGAAATGATTTATTCTGGAAACCTTGATGCTATTCCTGTGGCCTCATCTGCAAACTGTCAAGTGTTTTTCTTGCTGATGAGGTCAAAAGGCCCCAGAACTGCATCACTCTGTATTCTGTCCTCACCCTCAGATTTTTCCATCATGACTGAGATTCTATCAGTCTCTCTCCTCCTTTGGCATACGCTTCGCAAGTATTTTACAACTGTTCTTGGAGCACACACACACACACACACAGAGAAAGAGAGAGAGAGAGAGAGGGAGAGAGAGAGAGAGAGATGGGGAAGAGTCCACAGAAATGATGGGGCTCTTCCAGGTGCCATAATATAATTCACTGCTTTTTTTTTTGAAGAAAAATGCTGACCAGTTCTAAGCTCAATAAATTATTTCACTGTCACTGGCGCTAGCTTTGTAAAGCAGAGTTCTTGGTCTTCTCAGCCTTTCCTCAAAAAAAAAAAAAAAAAAAAAAAATTGTTGTAGTCTCCAGGGACAAACACATTTATTCTGCTCATTTTCTTCCACTGCCTTTTCCTGTCCATCTGCTTCAGCCTTCAAACATCCTAGTCTTTGGTCTTGGTGTTTCAGAATCTGATATGTCTGCTCCTATATTATTCCAGCATTTGAAATTCTACTCAACCCAGTTCAGAAGATATCCGCTCTGCTTAAAATCAATGTCTTTTTACTCCTTCAACACATTTCTTTTCTTCTAACATTTATTGTCTTACATTAAAGCTCATTATTTATATATTTCACCTGCATGTTGCTAATTTTGCTTTTTGCTAATTTTTGAGACAGGGCTGTTATCTTTTGAGATCCTACCATCTTGAATGCCTAAGCCCTCAAGGGGGTTCTTTAACATGACACTGGGGTAAAACTTCAGAGACAGTATCTTTTGCCAACTCCCTAAAAGAACTCAAGTAGGAAAGGAGTGGCAGTGAAGAGCCTTGTGTCTTTCAGGCTAAGGGGCCATTAAGCAGAAGTGTGCTACTCACATGTAAATGGTGTCGGGTTCCAGGCATCTTACGATGAGCGAGATGGTGGTGAGCTGTTTGTCTGGCACCTGCGATGGCATGGCACAAGGGGACTTAGCTCCAGAGATGATGTCATCCACAAAGCTCAGTACCGTTTCTGCCAGAGGGAAACGAACAGGAAAGGGGTGAGAGTGAGTGTTGGCCAGGCCAGGAGGAGATGGAATCAACTCAGCGAGAACTGATTCCAACTGTGTGGTGGCCAGTCTTCTGAAATTCTTACTAGAGAAAGGATACCTGGAAGGAATGGTCTTTTCTGGCTGTTCTAACATTTAACCGATCAAATTTAGAGCCATTCTTCTGGAGTTAGTTCAGAAACAGCTAAAGGAAGATACTCATAACACATTTGTGAACTCTCATGAAATGCTCCTGGCATGGGTAGAGAACAGCTATTGTGGTCAAAGGTCACTGCCAGACTTAGCAATGTCTGCACACACTAGGAAGAGCTTCAGAACAAGCAGAAAACAGTGTCCCAGGCCTGAAGACAGCTGCATGTGTCTCTGCACCCCAGAAACAGGTTCCCCAGAGACTACTGTCACCATCCTGCTGCGGAGCAGATCTCTCATGTAAGTATTAGGGATGATTTGTGTTGACTTCTCCATGCATGTAGACTATGAAATAAGACACAGAATACTTTTCATGGTGTGTTTTCCACTTCTTTAAAACTTCCCTTTCTTAGCTGGACCTGACAAAAGCTGAGTTTGCTTTAGGACAAGACATGGAGCAAGCACATCTGTTTGCACATGCTTTTGCCTGGAAGGAGTTATTAGCAAAGGAATTTTTTTTTTTCTGTAATCATGGCAGTGGTTAGCAGAGAATTGTTTCCTAATTGTGGGCTAGGCTAACTAGTGTAGTGCACTGTTGTTGCTTTGTGAGTGTGCCTAGAGGCAATGAAATGGACACCTCTTTTATAAACAAAAAGAAAAGCAAAAATCAAAACAAGATTTTGTCAGATGCTCACCATGCAAAAAGTCGTAAGTACACAAGATGGCTGCTGCTTGACAGAAACAAGGGCGGCTTCCTCCCCTGCTCCTTCTGTCCTGCTCTGGGACAAACAGCCAAGGCAGGGCATTCTTCTTTTGTTTTATTTCTGCCACGATGGGTCAAGAAGAGCCCAGGAAGTGGGGCTGGCTCACCTGTCTCCACTTTGGAGTGGTCCATCCGGTCAGTGACCTTCTCTTGACGGATGAGGTAATCTACTATCTGCACCCCAATTGGTGGCTCTGAGTGTTCCCACTCCAGGACCACCAGAGTGCTGCTGGGCTCGTGAACTGTGGAGAGTCTCAGCCTGAGTGCAGAAAAGAAGAGACAGGAAAGGAGGACCTCGCTGATTTCTCATTGGTCACTTCCCATTTGCCCAATGATTACACTATAAACTCTTCTAAATGAACTCCTGAGATAATCTTTGGACAGGTCTATTTTTTTTTCAGGAGATAGTAACCAATGAGTTATAGGTTTTAGATTTATAAATGCTTGTTATAAACCATTTGTAAACAAATAAATGACTATATGAGGAAGGATGAATGAATATCTGTGTGTTGCATGGGTCAGGTGATACATTTTTGAGGGGCAGTGCTGCTTTATAAGGCTAAGATACAATTTCTGGATTTTCTCTTAAGAAACATTGAGAATGTGTGTGCAATGCCCATATGAAGACCCACTGAAGTGGTCCTCAACAGAACCTTGCATTAATGAGGCCACAGTTAGCTCACGCTCCAGAGAATACATCATCTGTGTCTGCTCTGCCCATCACCACTTTCCCTCTTGCTGTGGAAACTAACACATCTTCCTCCCCATGCCATCGGCTGGCCCTGGAATAGGTTCTTTCTGGGAGTGATGTCCACTGGGGGCTTTACTGGGAAGCAGAAAGTTGGCCACATGTTATGTTCTCTTTGAATTTGATTCTTGTGCCTGTTTGCCCAGGTTCTGGTTTCAATTTTTGTCTTTTCTCTTGGGTTTCTATGAATATCCTGGTTCCTTCTTCCAGTCTCTGCTTGTCTTTCCCAATTCATAATCTCTTCATTCTTGACAAGCTGTCCATTTTGACTATAGTTTTTCCTGGCCATCTCATAACTCTCTGTGGCTCATAGAGACTCAGTAATTATTGCTGACATTCACTGGTATTCACCTCCCAGTTGTCCAAATGGTTTCAATTCGCTGCCTTGTTCTGACTTCTTGTATGTGGCTCGGGTTTCCCTCTTGCTTCCAATTCCCCGTTTCTTCCTAGACCACTGGATTCTGAGGATTTTCCCAGTTCCTGATCCCCAGCCTCCTTCCCTTACAAGTACGCCTTGGCTCTTGCGTCTCACAACAGCTCACCATCCTGGCTCCACTCCTCTCCTCTGAGCTCACAGGTGCCACTCACTGGTCTTGAGGGTCACTGGGCAACATACTATGGAAAGATTGCCTCAGACCATCTGCAATGGTTAATTTTAATTCAATAAATATTTATGAAGTGCCTAGTAATTGTAAGGATTATTGGATACTAGGAATCAGTGTACACAGCCCAGCCCAGCCCCAGAATCACAACCTTGTGATAAGAACTTCAACAAGAAATCATGGGACACCATGGAACAAATATCAAGGCATTCAACTAGTAGGGAAATAATAAAAAGCACATGTTCGTCTGCTAGTGGCTACTATGAAGGGGTGCATAGTTTGCATATGATATTAAAATGGAATACATCCAAAACAGTGCGGATATTGACAAATTCATTAATTAGAGTCATATGCAGAATGCTGTTTTGAAGAAAAGGTATTGGGAAGCTTAAGTAAGTAACTAAGCCTTCTGAGAACTCAAATTCTATGAAAATATGGACCACGGTCACGCCTACTGAGAAATAAAAGTGTGTATGACTTACTTGGACTTGTGTAAAACTAGATTGCATTTCTATATTCAGCTACCAATTAAAATGCAAGAATTTAAGGTCTGTTTCTGAAAGAAGTAATCAGAATTGACCAAAAAATAAGCAGTTCCTGTTTATGATACTTTAGCCTAATTTGATCTTCAGCTGTGACATTTAGTAAACATCAGATAGACATGAAATCAGGCTACGGACATAGTGGCTGGAGTTTGTGTCCATCTGATTGCATCCAGTATTACCTTTAAAAGGTAACTTTCTTAACTGGTGAAACACCAGATTCCCTTCCGTTTCTACTAAATTAAAGGGCTTTCTCCTTGGACTTTCTTTGCCTTACCAGCCTTTGGGGTCACGCTCCACCAGCTAGGCCCACCAGAACTCATCTTGTGGACAAACTATTTCGGTGGCTTGAGTCCCATGGTGGTACCATATTAGAACCTAAGCTGAGTTCCGGCCTCAAGGCCTGGTCCCTCAGTTTGGCAAGGTCTGTTTAGCTTTCCTTTCAGGGAAGCTATCTTCATTTCTTAGGTACCTCTGCAGCATTCATCCTCTTCATCCCTCAGACACAGACATGTTCTAATGCCCACCTTAACCCTCTGATCTTCACAGCTCATTCTTGTACCTAGGCATCCTCTAACACAGCTGTCACTCCACCTCCTATTTATTTAGAACTGACTGAAATCGTCTTACTCTAATACTTACTTTTTCACCGAGGGCCATTTCTCTCCTTGCTTACTGATCATCTGCAGAGCTATCCATCATGAGTCCTAGGTAAGTCCACATGGAACTGGCCTTGCCCTCACACTTGCATGATTTTGACACTTCCTTCCTCAATCCCTCTTCCCATCCACCCAGGTCATAAACCTGAAGTCCATTCTCAGCTTCTCCTTGCTTCTCATCCCCATAGTCAATCAGCCACCAAGACCTGCTGTTGATTCTAAGCAAAACCATTTCTCAGTTGTACTGTCCATATTATAATGGCTGAGAATACGGTCTCACAGTCACATCCCTGCTTCCTGCTCTGTCACCATGGAAACACTATTTAATGCATTTGAACCCATTCCTTGTTTATTAACTAGGTGGGATGTTGTCATAGTAGCTATCTTGTCCACACAGGGCCTGGTGTTCAGTAAGTGTCTAGTAAGTGGTAGCATTGCTGGTCTAGTTAAGCTCTCACTGTAGGTCTCTAACTTGCCCCCTGGCAGTGGCAATGTTGTCTTCCAGTCCGAAGTCTTTCTTTTTTGCACCTTCCAGGAGAAGTGTATGTGCTACTTCCTTCATGAAGCCTTCACCATTGCCCGAATTCAGACCCCAACAACCCTTTTCCCCACTTTATGTGAATGTTTATATCACCTGCCACACTGTTTCTTTTACTATAACACTTTGTGTCCTGCCTCCCTTATAGATAGAAAGCTCCTGGAAGGCAGGTACTGTGCCATGTTCTGCTTTCTGATCCCATGTTCGGTTAAATGGTTGGCAAACAGTAGACTTTACTTTTTTATCAGAATGATGCTAAGGCAGACATTCAAGAGAGAGGAGGAGAAAGGGAACCATACACAGGTTGTGGCAGAGGTGCACAGGTAGGGAGACCATCAGCTCCAAATGCAGTGGAGTCGCATCGACACCAGTCCTCAATGACATCTCCAGTCCCTGAGCACCAGAGAGAGCTCATGGTGGCCTCCTGCAAGAGCTGCATGGAAGAGCAAAGAGTGAGTGTGTGGAAGCCAGGACAAGGTCATGAGAAACAACAGGCTGACTGCCAAGGCTCTGCATGGCCTTACATGACTTGTAGACAGCAGCTTGCAGTAATACTTTACTATATTTTGGTCTAAAATTATTATCCTAGGAGATGGTTTCTGGAGACCCTAAACCCTGTACAATTTCTGGGGGGCTCCCTTTTCTTTTAGCACAGTAGTTCATAGTTATTACCCCGGAAACAGCCATATTTCATCTTCTGTCTCCCTGTCATGCTCCATCATTGGCTCCAGGAACAGTGACCTCTTCACCATGCATCTATGGGTGGCCTGGCTTCACCACTTTGCCCTGTGCCAGAGGCACTTTGCCTTTCCTCAAGGGCCTCTTTGCACATCCTTATTTGCCCTGGTGTTTCATAAACATCCCCTGCAGCCCACTTATTTAGGCACGTCTCTTTTGGGTTGAGAGTAGGCAGCAGGCATCTCTTTCTTAGCAGATCATAAATATCAGGAGTTGTTTGTCAAAAGGGCTAAGAGCTGAATGCTGGATATCTTCCCTGGATAAAAATGCCACTTTTGCCAATCAGTTCCAGGTGACCTTGGACAAGCTACACAACTCAGTTTCCTTAATGATAAAATAGGATAAAAATAGTACTTTCCTTATAATGGTATTGGGCACAATAAACAAAATAATATATGCCCATAAAAATATATGTATAATGCTTGATATATAATAGTCATCCATAAATGAATCAATTATTTTTATCTTTGAATGACAAAGTTGAGTTTTAGGTAGAGCCTTTAACTAGCCCAATTCTTTACATAGGTAGTTTCATGGAGATGCTTACTACTAAGTAAAAGGACAAAGTTAGACTACTATGAAATAGAATTGTGACAAGGGCAAGTCCCTGATGGGATGCTGGTCCTTCAGTGGGGATTTTCTTCCTAAGCTCCAGGCCAGGCTAAGTGTATCAGTTCCAAGCTTGCCTAGATCAGAGAGAACCTTCTTTCCATGTCATACGCTATGTGCTGCCATGGCTTTTCCTCTTCACTCTCACCATAGCCTAGCTGGTAAAGAAAAAACACCAATCTGTTCTGGAAAAATTCAGAACAAAACATTTTAAGAAAAGAGAAAAGAGAAGAGGAAAAGAAGAAGAGAGGGGAGGGGAGGGGAGAGGAGGGGAGGGGAGAAGAGAGGAAGGGAGGGGAGAGGAGAGGAGGGGGAGGGGAGGGAAGAGGAGGAGAAGAGAGGGGAGGGTAGGGGAGGAGAAGAGAAGAGAGGAGAAAAGGAGAAAGTGAGAACGGAAGGGAGGGAAGGACAGAGGGAAAGAAAAGGGAAGAGACAACTCTACAAAACTTCAAATAGCCGAACCCAAACCCAGCATCCTATGTTCTTCGCCTTCAGAGCTCAGCATAGAACACTGACAGGGAACCTTTTAGAGACTGAGTGCCAAATGGAAACCTAAAACCCACTTATTTTCACAAAGGCCAACACTGCAAGTAAACCTGAATACTGAGGTCTTAGTTTAGGAAAAAAGCAACTCTAGGTTAACATCTTTTGTTTTCGAAGAAAAGTACAGTGATGCGTATGCCGTAGATTCACCACCACCGGCACAGACTGTCTTGGGTTAGGACTGTTGGGGTAAATGTCTGCACCCATTCTCCTCCCTAGACTGAGAGCCTGCCAGAAGCGAGGATTAACCGGATTAACCGCCAAGCCTAACTATCATTTGCCTGCAGTTTATAACCCGAAAGTCCCTTTCAGAAGCTAGAACTCCGATAGATAGCTGTCATGATTTTCCAGGGGTGCACTCCAAGATTCAAAGAAGTCAGGTAGCTGTTTCAGATCACAGGTATTAAACAGGTAATTCCAGGCCCCACCTGCATCCAACGAATCTCCCCCGGCATTGCAGGCTTTTCCCATCAAGCACCCACTGGCAAGGTGTTCACTAGGTGTCTCATCTGACTGAAACTCAGATCAAGAGGTACACTAGGAAAACAAAGTTTCTTTGAGAAACACAGAATAAAAAAAGGATAATGACTGCTTTCTGATAGAATCTTCAATAAACTGTTATTTGCCAATCACCTATCAAGGGACCATGTGTTGTGCTTGGCATTACAGTGATATAAACATGTAATTGTGTATTTATGGCCATTGTCTACATAGAGCAGATAACAACAAGCAAAATAAAGTCATAGAACTATCCAAATAACCACAACTGTGATAAGGACACCGAAGGAAAGGTCAGGCACCACTAATGCACAGGGCAGCTGAAGGAAAAGGAAAAGCTTGGACAGTCTCACTGAAGGGTGTGGAAAGTCTCCATGAAGAGGTGATATTTTTATCTGCACTCTGAGGGATAGATCAAAAGTTATGTGGCCAATAAAGTTAGGATATTGTTGCAGGTAGCAAAAATATATTAGAAAGACTGGTCCAGATAAAAGTTGACTTCGAAAATCAACTGAAAAAGGTAAGTCTGTCTGTAAAGAAAGGGTTAGAGAGAGAGATGGGGACTGAAGGGCTTCTCCACAAGTGATTTATCACCCATCAATCGTTTACACAGGAGACCACCAGGTGCTAGACATTCTGTAGAAGAAAAAGCATTTCTCACAGCCTAGAGAGGAATAAATAACTGCAAATGATTCTAACAGTAGGCACTGCATGTTTTAAAAGACCAGTGTATGTGCAGAATAGGAATTGCTTGGAGAAACACCTGAGCTACTAGAACAATGAGGGAGGGACATTGATGGTAGTTTATGTTTGATCTGAAGCTTGACATAAGAGTAGGAGCTGCCTGTGGCAGAAATGTAGGACAGGGCATCCTTATTGGGCCAAAGAATTGGAATTCTTAAGGGCCAGATGCATGAGAAAAAATAAGTTGTATTTGAGGAGTGTTATGGTTTAGATCTAAAAATGTCCTCTGAGTCTCATGTATTCAGAGGTGTGGACTTAGGAGATTAATTGGACAGTGGAGGTGCTATAAGCATCCAATTACCCAATGATTAATCCAATGATGAGTGCATAGCTGAATTATAGAGTTAAGACCTAGTTGGAGAGAATGACCTGGCTGTTTTGTTTTGTTTTACAATGGGATTTCCCTATACAGTTCAGGTTGGCCTGGAACTTACCATATAGCTCAGACTGGCCTCAAACTCATGGCAATCCTCCTGCTTCAACCCACTAAGTGCTGGGATTACAGGCATGTACCACCATGCCCAGCACTGGAGGGTGTGCCCTTGTCCCTGCCTCCTCCTTTCTCTTTCTGTTTCTTGGCTGCCCTGTGACTAGCAGCTGGGCTTTGCTGTGCATCTGTCATTCCAGTTCTGTCTTGGAGCCAGCCAGTCACAGACTGAACTCGCCAAAATGTGAGCCAAAATGAACTTCTCCTTTAAGAGTGGGTGTAGGGTGTTTGTACCAGTGATTGGAAAATAGAGTATAAGATATAGAGCAATAACAACCTAATCATATAAGTGAAGGCAAATTGGATCATGAACTGGCTTATAATGATGTGCTCCAAACACTTGATTGTATTCAATCTGTTCAGCCATTAAATTACTTTGATATAATATGGTCAGACATTCATATCAGATAATAACTGTGAGGAGTCTAATGGGGAGACTGGTGATAAGGTTACTATCATAAGATGCAAGCCTGATACCACAATGAGTCGTTAGACAGTTACACTGCAATAGGAATCTGATAGAAAGAGGATAGTTCAAGAGATATTTGTTGTTCTTGGGGATGGGACAGAGGATGAGAATGAAAAGAAAAGAAATTCTAGGAAGCACCTGTTACATTTTATGTCTGGATGTCCCATGAGATCTCATGTGGTTATGAGGGCTTTTTGGATGCAGCTGAATCTAGAGTTTGTGATTGGTTCACTGTTTAGCGCTGGGATTGGGGTACACCTGTCCCAGGTGGGGTGGCCTGCATACATATAAGGGAGGAAAAGAGGCTTGCTCCTCTCACATTGCTCTTGTTGCTTTTGCTGTCTTTCATTCATGGAAAACAACATGTTACCCCAGTGCCATATCACCTTGCCTTGGAACCAGCTGATTATGAGCTGAAACCTCTACAAGCTATAAGCTATATCAACCTTTTCTCCTTTAAGCTTGGGCAGCAGGTATTTTGTTTCAGAAATGAAAAGAGTAACTAACACAGCATCTCTATAGGCAAATTCATGCAAGATGGTACCAATCACTGAAATGGGTGCACAAACATTTAGATCTGGTGAGCTTATGTTTGTTGGGTTGGTTAAATGGGGGAAGCTACTGGTTTCTTTATTACAATTGCTGATTAGATGGTCCTATGGTATCAGAGATGATGGAGTCCAACAGATGGAGGACAATGAGAGCCTGGAAGCTTCGAAAATGTTTCCAAAGATACACATACAGAAATAGCAGGTAGATACACATACAGGTAGAAATAGCAACACACACTGAGTTACTAATGCCATGACTGAGCACTCATCCACCTCTCCTTCACCCCTAAAGGAGAAAGGATAAAATCAGAAGGAAAATTTGAGGAACAAAGGATCATAGAAATAGAATATCTCTTAAGAAAAAAGGCAAGGAAAAAAAAAGCACATGATGGGATCTTAGCTCCAACTAGGACTCCTTTGTCTGTGTGATTTGATGCTGAAATGTTCAGAATCACCTCCCCATCCTTTCCTGAACGTCGGGGCAGATAGAAAGGGAAGAGCTGATATTTTAGGCAAGTAAGGGATCCAGCAAAGGAGTGGCTAATGCTAAACTCTGTGCACTGTCTTCATTTTGCTGGAGAGCCCCTGCAGGAGTAAGGACACAGCCCTCCACTCTCACCAAGTACTATTTTGAAGCTAGCATACTCTGTTTCATAGGATTATTCTGGTGGGCTCTGGGACATTCTGTCCCCAGGCATGTGGCATGGGACATCTCGGGTATTAACTGCAGCAGCCTTGAGGAAGACTAAGTGGGGTGAGCAAGGGGAGGCCTGGCATAGGATTAAAGCCACGGCAGCTTAAGGGCTCCAAGTGACTGAGCCTCTCCATCTCCCTTTCTCTCAAGCCCCTCTTCAGTGGTGTCTTCTTTCTCTCTCCCTCTTCCCGTAGCTGCCTCTATCAGATTCAAGAGAAATGTGTAGGCCACAGGAATAATTTATCTTCTCATTCCTGTGAAAAATCTTATTTTCAAATGCTCAGTGAAATCTCTATGGTAGATCTGGGTAGGTGACAGAAACACACATGCCAGATCCCTCCTGTTGGTCTGAACAACACCTATGAAACAAAATGTGACACACCAGGTGTCCCTTCAAAGAGAAAGAGGAAAGCAATTATCACCCCACCTGGATGGGCACACACACCTCTTAGGTAAGCAGTGCCCGGCTGCAACTGCTGCTTGGTCCCAGTCTCCCGTGTGGTTTTACCTATACTCTCAGAAATCCTGCAGGAGGAGCTGCCTTGTGGCTGGTGCTGCCTGAGTTGACTCACTCTGAAATCAGAATGTCCTAGAAGAGGCCAGAAGGCCAGGTCACTGTCTCTGCCTCTTTTCCCAACTTATTCTTTTGGGTTCATTAATTTTGTTTCTGACATCTGTGGGAAGGGAAAGCCAGAGGCAGCGGCAAACTAAGAATGGTTGGGAAATGTCATGACCCAGCAGCACGATAAAGGGCAAAAGGATCTGTGTGGTTGTGACATTTTGTTCTTGCAGTTAGAGTGATAGGCGAGAAAGCAACCCTGCAGGCCGAGGCTGCCAGGCCCTGACTTGGGGACTTGTGCCTGATAACTCTCCTGCTTCCTGCATGGCAGGCTGGGGACCACCGGGCAGCTGGTTCACCTCCCGTGCCACAAGGTCAGACAGAGCTGAGCCTGGAGTTCTCCAAACAATGATTCTGCTGATCGCAAACCTGTCTTCTTATTCATCAACTTATTTCCAGCCGTTCTGTCTTCAGACTCCACAGTGCTCAGTTATGGCTCCTGAATTATATTACTGTGGGTGCTGGAAATGCCTTCACTTGACATAATATGCAAACATGCAAATCTAAGCAAATTAAGTCCCTGGGCTACCCAAACCCCGACATCTCACTATCCAAATTCTAACATGGAACTCAGCTGCACCCTGTCACTTCCTCAGGCCACTTGGAAAGCCCTCTGTGTAGCTGATGCCTCCCAGAGCCAAGAGTCCCAGGCCTCTTACCCTCTGGGTCTGATTGTTAGTCACCAGTTCATAGATGGGGGCTGCTCTGGTCACCTCCAGAAGGACTGGCTCGGCAGGAGTGTCAGGGCTGGATGTCACATGACACAAGGGGCAGGACGAGGGACATCGTCCCTTGCTCTGGCACTCCATGCGAACTCCAGCTGCCATCCGCTTGGTGCCAGAGTCTGACAGGCTTGCAATGTATTCTGGGAATGTCAGCACCTTGGGGTCTCTTTCCCGCTCCTCCGACTCATCTGATGGAGAGTTGCCTGCCAGACAAAAGATAAAAAACAGTAGTGAGAAAACCAAGACACCAAGGACTGTCATGAGCTCATGGCCCCTAAGTGCTGGGGTCTGATGAATTCTTCATATGTAAGTTAGGAGATATTCATTGTACCTATCTCTACCATTGTGAAGTAAGTGAATGGACAGTGTTTAAAAAATACAGACCACAGTGGCTAGTGTATACCACTCTCATCATAATACTTTTAATGATAGCTAGAGCTAAGATTTAGGGATGTTAAATAGCTGACTATATTAATGTTTTTGGATCATTGAACACAGCTGTTTGCAGTCTCTCCGTTTGAATGTCTACTTTGTATTCTTTGATACTGTGATTTGAGCAACTATTTCCAAGATGATATTATGTAATCTATTAACAGGTGATTTCTTACTGTTATGTTTTTTTTTTGTAGTTCTGTATTATGTGTAACCTTACACTGCTTTGTTTTGTTTTGTGTTTTTCTCTTTTTCCTCTTAAATAAAAAAAAAAAAAAAGATTTAAGGACCTTGTGCTGTGAAGTGAGATGGATTAAATATCTCCTTTATCTATTACGTACATGGAGTTCTACCATTGTACCCATTTTATAAGTGAAGAAAATGAGGTCAGTGGCCTCAAGGTCACACAGCTAGTATATTGTGGTAGCTTGAATTTGAATCCAATTTTTTCTGATTGCAAAGTCCTTAGGTCATAAAGTAAGAACATAGTTTCTTAGCTTCATAATCCATTTATTGAAGATAGGGGGAAGTTTTTACTTTTTCAAAAAGACTTGCACTCTTGTTTGATAGTTAAAGGAATTCTCAATCTATTTTAGGTGATAAACATGGAAAATGCCTACCAGATGACAAGACTTTTGCTTTCCCACACAAGAAAGAACTACTTGATATTTGTTTTCTGGTCATTGGGATTCCCCATTTAACTCTTTTAATTCTAAAGGAGTCTGCTGATCAAAACCACTGAGTTCCTTAAGAGATTCTGAACTCCATTGGCACAGTAACTGTCCCAAACAACACAGAAATTCAGAGCAGCACTTTGGGAAATACTAGGCATACACAGCACATTCATTCTGGTCTCCTTGGCCTCATCAAGAATGTAGTACTTGATGGCCAGACCGCTGGGCAAACCGGCCGGAATGATGTGCCAAGGGATCCCAGAAGGTGACTGTGAGATTCGACTCATCAACTTTGTAAGAGTTCTCTCCACGGGGCCCAGGGACCTCCTGCCATGCTCTTCTTGTTTGCTGTGGGGAAGGAGCCATTTGGAACCATCAGAAGGCTCAGCAGCATGCCGCTTCTGAATCTGTGTCATGATTATGAGACTGAGGCATTTTTACCCAGCAGCTTCCTGACACAAAGGCAAAACACAGACACACTCAACGGCCCTAACCACGGGAAATAACTCATTTCATAGCTTCGTGTTGTTCACTTATAGGACCAGAGTTGAGCTCAAGTCTTTCCTGTATTGTAAGTGTGGAAAGGCAGATGCCCAAATCCAGAATGGTGGTTTTGAAAGAAAGCCCAGGAGACAGCACCCAGCCACAGGTGGCCACCCACGGGGCATCCTTACCAAAACTGAGGCATGCGCACCTGACACCCCTGTGGCTGAGAGTGTTAGTGGAGCGGCCATGTCAGGGCTGAGGACTCTCCTGACCCAAGCCAGCGCCCAGCCAGGCCTCCTGGCTCCTTGAGACCCAAATGGACAAGCAGCAATCACCTGGGGTGGAGTCGGTTCACTGGGCCCTGGGCTTCATTGCTGGGCAAATAAGCCCCATTTCCGGGGAAAATGACTAAACATTTTTTATTTAACAAAGCAGTAAAGATACAATTTTTAAAATGCGATTTTTGAAAATTTGCTATGGAGCCCTGTTACACAGAGGAGCCTATTGCTTAGAAGGGATACAAGGGAGGTTTTGTCTTTTGCCTTGTTTTGGTACTGGGAGTCGAACTCAGGACCTCACGCATGCCAGGCAGGGACTGTGTCACCGAGTCATATCCCTGGTCCAGGTTCCTCACAATAGCCACGCCTTTTTATTCTCAACCCTCCTTTGGCATCAGTTCAACAGGCAGTGAAAAGCATTTCCCTAAATGACCACTAGATGGTAGTATTGAATTTAACATGGCTCGGACAGCTACATTTAGGGAGCGCTTTGGCACCATGGAAAATAAACTGGAAAAAAAAAAAAGTAACACATGGCTATGTTAACAATATTGGTAGATGCAGGAATTTTTTTCAATCAGATAATAAAAATTTAAGAAGTAAAACAATTACCTACTACTTATCCCAAGGAGAAAAATATAATGAGAGTCAGAAGATAACGACAGGATGATTACAGAAAAATAAAACCCACGAGGGGAAATAAAAATCCTCCCTCAATATCCTTCAACATAGAGTAAAAGTCACTTCCTAGGGAAGATAATATGCTACCAAATTCCTTTTCTTTCAGCTTTCACAGAGTACTCAGAACTTTCTCATGTCTGAAAGGCAGGTTCTGACAGTCACAGGTGCCTCTCGGAGGCACTGGCACCCACCCACCGAGGCTATGTGAGTTGACACTCCCTGACCCTGGACTGCGGTCTTTAAGGCTTGTAATTGCCTGAACCGCGGTGGGAGGTGCTACGCCTGCTGGCCACAACAATTAAAATCAAGTATCTGTCAGCCCTGGATACTTGGTAAGATTGTGGAAGGGTTAGAGGTGGGGAGCAGGATGGGAAAAGATGATGGGAGGCCACCAAACTCTCTCCCTAATTCAGAACCCTATTTCCTATCTCCTGAAAATATGCAGGTGCACACACAAGGACGCTGCCGAGGCCAGGGCCAATGCCCTCTGGTTGGTCCCCTGTCACACTGGAGGCAGCTGTCAAGAGAGGAGCTGGATTTGCGTTAAGCCCTGAACAGTGCAAGTTCCCAGAGCCATCTATCCAGGTTCCAGCAAAGAATGGAGATGTGTGTGAGAGAGAGATTTTTCAGAGGAAATGCATTTTCTATGGGCAGTTAAGGATACAACCAGGAGACACTCCTTAAGATGATGGAGTCCGGTGGCAAAACTTGGATAAATCTGCTTTAGCCTGAGAGAGCACCTATAATTGTCTTGTGTCTGGCAAGTGACAGAGTGGTGTGGTCTTCCGGTGTCAGACACTTGCTTTTAGGCCCCCACCACACCTCGCACTGGAGGAGGTAGTGGCGGAGAGGTCTGTGGATGGACAGTTAAGGTGGAAAGCCACTTCTTTCCTTCTGCTTCGAGGGCCTCCCCTCCTCTGCTCCTGCCCTCACAGTCCTTGGGTAGAGATCTGCTCTACCTTTTTAAAGTGTGGTTAGAAATGCTCTAGGAATTTAAAAGACTAAAAAGGACTATTCTATTTCAATAAGCACAGTCTCTGCACATGAGAAAAAAACTAAAAGATTCCAAAGACTAATTGGCAAAGAAGTTCTCTGATAAAGAACAGCCAGGTGTGGCATCTTCTCACCCAGGCTTGTAGAATTCACCCCAGTGCTCCCCCGGGAGGCTCCGGAGTCTGGCTGTGACAATTCGTTTTCTACCAGCAGTGCAATATCCAACCTGGAATGTAGTTAACAACCCTAAAGCTGCAAAGCATTTTGCAAATACAGTTTGCTATAAATAAATGCCATTTGCTTTAGGCCAAATCTGTATCCTACAGCACACAGTGGATGAATTTCCCCAATAGAATACCATAGGATGAGCATATTGACACTCTTAATGCTGGAACTCTCATTGTGTACTTGCCCATGGCCTTGGGCGTGTATATATTGACCTGCCTCAATTCAGGGGCACAGAAGGATGATAAAAGTGACCAACGCATTCTCACGCAAAGTCTACTGTGCTGGTGGGAATTGATGGGTCAGAAAGGTGAATTAGTTGTTATAAAGTAAATTGGTACAATTCCTGTAGGATTCTGGGGTTGCTTAACACTCTCTCTCCTGAGTTAGTGCCCAAGGCAATGCGATGCTAATGACATCACAGCTAGAACTACAGGGACAGTTCATTAGGCAGCAAAGAAATCAAATGCAAACTAATCAGATCACAGCTTCTGCAAGGCTAGGGAGCACAGGACAGAAGGCTCGACCTGGCAGGTGAAGCCTGCTACAGCGAGGTGGTCCCAGATCCAAGCAGCCTGCACGCCAGGACCCCAGCCCTCAGCCTTCACCCTCACTCATTCTCCAGGAGATGCTGGAGTTATCTGAGTTCACAGGCCTTCCCTCTGCCAGACACTAATCAGTCTCTCTTGTTTGTGTCTTTGGACAGAAAAGTTGAGGTCACTCTGACATTGAGATGAACTTGTAGACCTGCCATGGTGACACAATCTCTGGGATCTAAGTAAAATACAGCATGATTAGTAATTAGAGAAAAGAAGCCAGAGTATAAATTCACCACTCAGCTCTCCTCCTCAATATGAGATAAGTGCCATGGGGTCAGGAAATACATCTTTTCTTTTGCCTAGTTTAACCCATCTATGTTTCTATGGAACTGTGTATTATGAATCTATGTATCTGTCTATCTCTCTCTCTAGCTATCTATCTACATCTATCTATCTCTGTATTCCATAGAAATAGTGGAGTGATATAAATGATGAGCATATATTTAAAGTTTTACAAAATACCAAACATAAAGAAAAAAACTGCTGGGCAAGGTGGTATATGCCAGCAATCTCAGAACTCGGGGAAGCTGAGGCAGGAGGGTTGCAAGTGTGATCCCAGGTTTAGGAACCTAGTGACTTAGCAAGATCCTGTCTCAGAACAACAACAACAACAACAACAAAAGTATTAACAAGGGCTGAGGGTGTATTTCAGGGAGAAGGTCTTGGCTTCAATCCCTGATACCAAAATAAAAAATAAATAAATAAATACCAAAGCGCTTGTAAACACTTCTTTAGTCCCTTACTAAAGCTTCAAACAATCAACTGGAAAGAGCAACGTGTTACTGCAGTGATAAGTGACTGGATGTCTCCAGCCTGAGTCTTTTCTATAAGTGAC